CATGGTCACTTTAAACTGATGTACAAATAGAACATTACTTCACTATGGTATATTCTCTATAGATTGTACATTTTACAGCGTGAGTTGAGACATGAGTGAGAACTGGAAGCCATTCACAAGCAAAGTGTAAAATGAGGTATGTTTAACCCTACAATCACTAGTAAACTACTATCTCAAAATCACCTGCTAGGTTTACATTAATTTTGCCCATTTATTTAACATATCACTAAGTTGTGCTGCTTTCTCCCTTGAATCCCTTTCTCGAGTAATGTGCACAATTAAAAATATGATATATAATGTCACCGATCCCACAACTTAGCCCACACTAGATATGGATTTTGCTCTTCTGTGTTGAACAGTATGAGATAAGAAATGCAGAAGGATGGGGAAAAAGGAGAACAGACTGGAGAGCACAAGACAACGCGTTTAAGCTATTAGTGCAACATTAGTAATGTTTGAGCTTCCATTCAGTCGACACTTGTGCTCATAACCTTAATTTTGCAGTGTAGTGTAAGCTACAGACATGCAGATTTAACGGGGTAGGTACACAGAAAAGCATCATATGGCTGATGCTGAAGGTTTTTAATTTCTGTTAGGAAAAACTGTGCCTGGAATGTATTTTATTGCTTGCAGATCTTCACTAAACATGTTGCACGTTGTTTTCATTAGTAACATTAAAATCAAGGGATTGGTTTGTCACCCAGATTTCCAGCCAGGACTTTCTTCTCCCCTGATCTCACCACCCCTGCAGGTCACTGACGAAGCAGTAAGTATCATAAGCAGAACCTTGTCAACAGAAAGGACCTTCAGGAAAATGAGTGAGACACTGATTAAAAAGGGGAAGGAGCACCAACCCATGCGGCCTACCAGGTTAAGAGGACAGAGATGTCAGCTGGCTGAATGATGACAGAACCAAAACAGCATTTTGGATAGGACCGTGATGTCATTAAAACCATATAACCGAAATTCAGGACAGTAAGATGTGCAAAGAAAGCAATGTTTTTAAGTCTTCCCATGGCATACATACTTCCTCAGTTCAGTCCTACTACAAGTAAAAAAAAACAGAGAACAGAGATGTAATGCTCATGGCTTGGACGGGCGTACTCTTCGCTGGGTAAAAAAAACTGTCTGGAAGGCCAGGCCCAAAAAGTTGTGGTGAATAGAGTTAAATCCAGTTGGCAGCCAGGCACAAGTGGTGTTCCCCAGGGCTCAGTATTGGGGCCAGTTCTGTTTAATATCTTTATCAATGATCTGGACGAGGGGATTGAGTGCACCCTCAGGAAGTTTGCACACAACACCAAGTTGGCTGGGAGTGTTGATCTGCT